TCCGTGGCAAGTTCCAAGCAAGCTTGGGCAATGCCTAACGCTTGACTCGCTATTCCTATTCTGCTCGAATCAAGGCTGGATAAAGCTATCTACGGAATTGAGAAGGTCACGTGTCGCGGTTTTTGTAAAACCTTTATAGTGAAAATCATAGAATAAACTGTATTGATTAGTTTTTTTACTTACTTTGAAACCAAGTCCGAAATCTCCCAGCAAATTTTCCCTTGGCACCTTGCAATCTTCGAAGATGAAATCGCAAGTTGAAGACCCTCTTATTCCCATTTTAACGTCTTTTTTTCCAAGGAAGAGTCCCTCGATGGGCTGCGGTACGATTATAGTAGATATTCCTAAAAAAGAGGACGAGTAATAGTTGATTTGGAAAATAAGTTAGCTAAAGTGAAAAATAACTGTAACAATTCAACTTCAGCACACTTGGTGGAGCTCTTTACACAAATAATATCTATTTCTTGAGTGTACCTCAAGGATCATATTTGGGGTGACTACAAATTTTCACAATTTAGACTGTATTTCACTACATAGTAATTTTCTCCATTGGACTAGTACTCTACACTCATTTACAATGAAAATTATATGAATTATCGACCATAACTAATAGAAATCACTAATTGGTGAACAGGTAGTTTTGACAAGGCCAACAGATCGGATGTCTACTAGCTAAAATGTAGCTCATGTTCGAAAGTTTATATTGGAACATCTGAAAATTTCAAAACCAGAATCTACGAAATACACAATAAATTTTGAATTGAAGAAAACCAATTCAACCTATTGTTGAAAAACAACTATGACTTCGTACAGCGTACTACATACAGAAAATAAAGTACTGTTGCTCCTATGTTTACCACGTGCAGTCCACTCAGATGACGATCGTTTTGATTCTGGTGAGAAATAATAAAGCCATGTTTCACCCATTGTCCCATATCGACGCCTAAATTCTGGTGGAACAGCTTCACAAAGCTCAGAATTATCAATTCGTTGTTGTTTTTGGTTGATTGTGAACTATGGCACCCGAATATTCATGCACAATATGTCTTTGATATCTTTAGAACCGATCTCGATCAACTTTTCACTTTGAAGTCATCCAAAATTAGTTTGTGGACTTTTTGATGATGTTTTTGTCGGTAACAGCCTCTTTGAGGCGTCCACTGCGTGCATCGTCTTCGGTGCTCATTTCAACTCGTTCAAACTTAGCAAACCACTTCTCAACTGTTGATTTTTCTGATGCAAAGTCCTAATAAAGTTTATCAAGCCAAGAGTTGGCTTCAACAGTATTTTTTCGCCAAAAGCATTGCTTCGTTAACACACGACTTTATTTTCATCCATTTTCTTTAAACTAACAAAAATTGCTTCATTCAAAATGTTCTATCCCACAAAATAATAGTCCGACAGCTGTGAAATTTGTTCCCGGGTCTTTTGAAGGTTAGGGTTAAGTAAAAATGAAATGGATTTAATATTAGTAGCGCCATCTGTGTGTTGGCTTACGTACATCTCAGCCCATAGAGTATTGTATAAATTGCATTGTAAAATAGTGTAGAGTACCACTGAAACTGAGGATACTGATATGTAGTGAAACGGCTATTGGAAATAAAGACTGAATTATGAAGATTTGTAATTATTCTAATGAATAGTGTTATTGATTTTCACCAAGTTAGAAGTGTCGGTGTATTAAAAAAAGTATTGGTATTCGATGATAATTGTTGTGAAGAAAAGAAAAACGATAATAACCTTTGTTTTTCAAATTCGGCAATTTTCTGCTATCGAAAAAAATGAATCAAAGAATATGCATCAAATTTTGTTCAAGCTTAAGGGGCTTAAAAATACTTAAAATGTGGCCAGTGACATAAGGTGATTGTACTCTTGAGCCAGAAAAATGAGCATCACTTAGGAATGACGTCAACGGTGATAAAAATTTGTTTAAAAGGGTCATAAGTGGTTATAAATCATGAGTATATGGTTATGACAATGAAACCAAAGTCCACTCGTCCCAATGGAAGAGTATAGGAGAGCCAAGACAAAACACTCCTAATTCGATCAAATGTCAAGATTTTGCTACATGGTCGTACGGTCAATAAGGAGTATTATCTTGAAGTTATGCGCCGCTTGCGAGAAGCAATACGAAGAAAACGTCCGGTATTGTAGAGAACAATTCATGGCTTTTGCATCACAATAATGCACCTACTCACTTGTTCAAAAATTTTCAACCAAAAACAACTCTGTAGTCATGCCTCAGCCACCATATTCACCAGATTTGGCCCCCTGCGACTTTTTTCTGTTCCCAATATTGAAGATACCCATGAAAGGACGGCGTTTTTCAAAGATTGAGGAGATAAAAAAAGTGCATATCAGAACTGCTTTGAGGTTTGGAAAAAACGTTGGCAGAGGGACTACTTTGAAGGGAACAAACTAGAAATTGATGAATATATAAATATTTTTTGGGAAAAATTAAAATTCACCTTATTTTTTGAACAGACCTTTTATGTGGATATAGATAACTCAAGTCAACTGAATCTACAGGTAGAGCTGCAAATATCTTCCATATTACTCCAATTGTTATTGTTTGCTTGGAACGGTCTTTAGTAAAATCATTATACCTATATCATACCAGTTTTCCAGTAACAAAATTGAACACCCTCACTTTTCTATCACTTGAAATGGTTGCAAACTTTTTACCGTCAGGGGAAAAGGCCAAACCGCTTGGAACAGTCTTATTTTTTGCAAATTCAAACAAGTTAGTATCTAGTTTGGAGTCAAATGATACATTTCTGGGAAATATGTAGTCTTGTTTATTACCAGCCCAATATTCTGAAAGATAACGATTTAATTACTTCAATGTTGCAATGGTATGTTAGATACACACCTAGCATGCCCTTTTTATCAACGGATACAACTACATCATATTTGGGATTATATTTCATCAAGCTGACAGGATTCATGTGGATTTTGTCCAGCACATTCAGATAAGTTTCATTAGATTTGCCATCATAAATGTAAATTTTAGGTGATTCCTTATCGGAAACAGCCAAAGAGTGTATAGGATCCCCCGAACTGTGTATCCACTCTACAGTGCCAGGGACATAATCCAGCCTCAACATATTTATCATGTCGAAGTTAACAATATCAAATATTTTTAAAGACTTGTCAAGTGAAGCTGAACAAAGTAGGGTTCCTTCGCTATTGCAAGCTATCTTAACTATGGGACCTAAATGGCTGCGAAAGTGCTTGACGAATTCTATTCCCGTCTCCATCTTCTTCCAAAATTTAATATGACCATCACAACTGGCAGTTATGATAAAATCAGTTGAGGACACCACGCAGTGTGTAATAGTATCCCTATGCATGTAGCTTCTTTCATAGGACTCTGCGCAAGGTAAACTATCCACATAGAGTTTTTCGAAAGGCAGTACTTTACGTTTTTTTAATGGGACTGCCTCTGATGGGGAAGGGCCCACAAAAGTGTCAGAGTTTGGATCACTGTCTTCATTTTCATTTCGTTGGCGTTTCTCCCGGATGTGATCTTCAGAATCACTCATGATTCAAGTTTTTACCATATAATTCTGTTAAACAGTAGGACGTGAAGTTCAGACGCTCAATAAAATGAATAGAAATTCAAAAATATAAATATAACCAACAAAAGATTAATCCAGTCTTCTTCTTCTTCTCTTTTTTTATATTCGAGAAGAACATTAACCCAAGGTGCTCTGTGCCAAGGTGATACTACAAAACAAAGTGTTGGCAGAGGCAATACATTCCGTGCGTCCCACTAAGCATTCCCACTAACGATCAAAATGCTCCTATAGCTGTTCCACATAACGACTGCGGTCTGTCATTCGTAATTAATTTCCAATTTCTCAACTTATTCCGTTATTCAATCTCACAAGTAATCAATGGAATAATTACTTACACATAATGAAGTAAATTTGAGAGTGCAATTAGACATTGCATTTTCAAAATTTATAATGCAATATGTGATAGAAAATCGTGTAACTAAAATGACTTATGAATTCTTCATTTGAATAACGATGAAATACATTCTCATAATAAATAATACGTGGCCTAAGTTTTCGGTTTTCCCGATTATAATTTTGGGGAGTTGCATTCCACTCTCCATCAGAACTAGATAAACTAGTTTCTAGAGCACTATTGTGATGCATCAACAAATCTCCAATTACCGTAAAAGACATTTTGATTACATTCAAACTCAATTAGTCCATATAATTCATTCGACATCACGAATTAACGCTCTCATGCAAGTGGAACGGAAAAAACTGCGGTAATGAGCGCTTAGTGGAACGCACCCATCATTTAGAGTCAATATTTAAATATTGTATGAACATACAAGACTTGACAAATAGAAGAGTATTTGCTCTCTGCCTGGCATTTCCAACGAATGATATTAATAAATGGTGTGTGTGCAGTTGTAAAGTAGAACACTTCGGTGGATGCTTAGTAATTTTTTGAAATACAATAACTCTAGTTGTATAACGTTACTATGGTGACTGGATGCGCAAAAGCGACTTGATATTCAAGAGCCATTTTTTTCGAACGATGATTTTGTGACACTATATACGTTCCTCATTGGGTAACGTATAAAATTTCATTGAAACACTCTATGTACTTTTTCCTTTGCCAATAAATTCTGCATTCATTCCTCTTCTGCATTTGATGTGATGCACGCGGAAATCTGACAATTATTGCCGAAAATACAATTTAGTGCCCTGTATTGTCGCGTCGCCATATTTGTTCCATTTATTTTTTTGTTTCCGTTACCGTACAATTTTGCGTTTTTTTAATACACGTTACAAATGTCTTGCCTTTGAAACGAATCCGCTTGAGTAAAATCATCTCTGGTTACCATGAACATACATGAATGTTTTGGTTGTTTTATCGATTCTCAGTATAACTAATAATACATGATTCATTTATGAAAACCAATGGATTATCAGTGAATTATTGAATTTAATATTTCACAAAAATGTCAATAAAAAAAGGACACTTTGATAATTGTTTGTTTTTCCTGAGGTACACTTCATCATCTTGCGACAATGATGCATCATTTTTAATAATCGAACGAGAAAAGTAAGTATTAATGGAGTGAAATAACCGAACGTTCCCTAAAATATTTTGCAGTTGGCGGCTTGTAATACTAAAATCTTTGTCAACCTGCTTGTCGACTGTCAATTTCTTTTACATGGTTGATAGCCGAAAGTACCACGTGCGATTGAAACTTCTCTAGTGGTTTTATAGTTGAAATACATAAATAAAAAGTGAGTGTTTTCAATTTATCACCTCTCGACAACCAGTGTTTTCGACAGAGTGCAAAAAAATATTAATATATCGTTTTTATTTCGTGTTGCAGATGCCTTTAGCAGTCGACTTATTGCATCCTTCTGCCGAACAGCAGAGAAAATCTCACAAACTCAAAAGGTCAGTAGATTGTTGGAACCAAGAATTTGAGTGTGAATGACTTATGAGCATTTTGAAGATCTTATAATTTCCATTTGTCTGCAGGTTGGTCCAGCACCCCAACAGTTACTTCATGGATGTAAAATGCCCTGGTTGTTACGCCATTTCGACAATTTTCTCGCACGCCCAGTCCGCAGTACCCTGCAAAGGATGTTCAACGATCCTCTGCACATCTACCGGAGGCAAAGCGAGACTCACCGAAGGTTGCAGTTTCAGACGTAAACAGCACTGAGTCTTTTAAATATAATGTAACTTCAAATATGTTTTCTAATAAATAACTGTATTGAGGATTCAATTGATATATTATTTTCAATTATCAACTCTCGGTGAACTGTTTGCACGATGTGAGAACAGAATTGTGCAATATTTTGAAATCTTTTCAAATTTATGCATGCAATATCTTTCAATACATGTTGAAAACTTGGAAGATTTTTATTAGAAATACTTTTGAACAATAACCAGGTAGAAGTTAGGAAATAATATTACTGTGTAGTGATTGATATCAATAATAAAAACTAAGTTCTACACAAATATTCAGCGAAACAATTTTCTCACACACAACATTTTTTATGCTTGGGAAAGAAAGGCTTTCCATTTCTTCATCTTTTTACAAAAAATGTGGGCATTGATGTCTATTTTATGCATTTTTATCTAATAATTAACAGGTCGATAATAATACATTGAAATGTTGAAAGAAACATCCTTGAAGGTGCAAACTCGTTTTCCTCATTTTATTGAAGACAAAGTACGTCTCTCCACTCAGAGGCCATTTTGGTAACGTGTGGGTTGTTCTATTTGTATCTGCAGTATGCTGTGTAATGCCCACTGTTATTTGAAAGTGCATATAGATAGTAATGACAAGGAGCCACATTGTCTGCTGCATAATTTGTTGGCAACATTGAATTTGCCTCTGAATCTTTCTGTTGTAGAGAATCTTTTGTAGTATAACAATAACGATAGAATGTATTCATCAATCAAACATACAAGGCATCATACATACACATTTGTATAAAACAGAGTAGTCAAAAAATGAAGGTACTCTACGAATAAATTGTCAAGATGTGTATAGTCGCAAAACAAACCAAAAAAATTGTATATACAATAGTCAGTTTCACAGTAGTAAGGTATCAGGAAATATAAAGTTCTTCAACATTATAAAATGCCATTTCAAGAAGGGATTTTGTAAAGGTTTTTCTGAATAGTATATCGTTCAGATTCACATCTATTTTATTGAAACATTTAATAACAATATGCTTTGGTGAATTTTCAGACTGATAACCTTGCGTAGGGTTGTCGAATTACTTCTTTATTCCTAGTGTTCTACTTGAGTGTCCTCGTTCCTCTTTAGTTCATTTTGGCTTCTTTCATAATCAGCTCAAGAATATACAAACACGGAAGGGTTACCATTTGGAGATTCTTGAATAAAGATTTACATGTTGTAGTTAGATGAGCAAGGTACATTGTTCTTATTATTCTTTTTGATGATACAAATGCTCATTCAAAGTGTCAAGAAGAATCACATAAGCTTCCAATTTCATGATTAACAAGTTATGATCAATAGTATCAAAAGCACGACTGAAGTCGTAGAACAATCCTAGAACATTATTTCCATCATTCAGTGCACTGCAGGTTGATTTGTGTTTACGAAAACCATTCTGTTTTGCTGGGAGAAGCTCAAAGTGTTACAAGTACTTGGTCAGTGTATCACAATAAGATGTTCGAATAGTTTAGCGATTTGACTTTGTATGCATATAGCCCTATAGTGTATCACAAGCAGATCCCTTATTTTTAAATACAGGTATACATTTTGATTCCTCAATAGCTGGAAATGTTCCAGATGTGAAAGATTCAGTTACTTAATAAATACGACATAATTTCTGCTATATACAAGAGTATATACAGCTTTGAGAATTTTTCCATTTATGTCTTCTATGCCAGCATACTGTTTAGCTGTTGTCTTATTTATAATGGAGATTACTTCTAAGGGTGTCACTGGTGTTATAAAAAAAACTTATGTTTTAAAATGAATCACTAAAATACGAAAAAACTTATGGATTGATAGGGAATTTATGCATTTTCTTCCTTCCTCAAACACGTCGGTTTTTCATGTCCATCCAAAGTTTCCAAGCATTGTAGTAATTTAGAGCGGGCTTTTTTCCAGTTTGTGGACTATGAAGCCAAAGCTGTTCTTTCCCATAAACTCAAAAAATTTACCCCTTTCAATTCAAACTTTTTAATACCTACATATTTCGTCAAGCAAATTGAGTCAAGACAGGAGTGTTACGTACACAAAGTATTTTTTTTGCAATATTATTAACATTTTTGTACAGCCTAGTTCTTGATATTCTTAATTAATTCTACAAAATGTATTAGTACTATCATTCCTAACTCGGGAAAGGTTATTGTTGAAAAATATTTTTTTCAGAGCGTGTTCAAAGACATTGCATTGATTAACTTGAAATAGAAGACTTAAAATATTGCACAGTATTATGTTATCATATGGTGCAAGCTTGATACATCAAATTCAATATACAGTATTGAAGAATGTGCACCTTGAGCCTTTTTGAATAAGATTTCGAAATATCCTCTTACTACGTTTAAAATACACAGTGAAGTCGGATATTTTGGTATTACCTTTGTGTATATACCATCCATTACCTTTTATAATGGCAATACTGTGCTATCATATAGAAAGTAGTGAAGTAATCATTACTGTTTTTATCTAATATAAATGCTGCGCTATCTTGCGGAGAGTAGCTGAAGTTATTGATCATTTCATATTTTCATTTTTCCAATGGAAGGCTACGCCAACTTTCAAAATAAGTTGAAGCTGTCAAATTTTTGAGTTTTTACTTATTGAATATTAACAATGATAACTTCAGCTTCTCTATAAAGAGCGCATATTGCTGCTATCGAAAAAGTGAGATCATAAAATGATAACATCGACTACTTTCCGCAGTATAAACAATGAAAAAGGAGGAATAATGAAAGATTATCACTTCAGCTACTCTCTGGAAGATGCCACTACAAAAACAAAACAAAATATTCGGTATTTCAAGCTAAATAAGTTGAAAACTTCAGATACTTTCAGTGGCTCCAAACACAAGTTTTGAATTTGGTCGTTTCCAAAAAATTGCATTGGGTGATTTCAAACACAAAAAACAAAATTACTAGATTGAAAAAAGAATATTTTCAAGAGACAGAAGTTTTTTGGAAAAAAAGGTTCATGGCTTTTTACTCTTCCACTATTGAACAAAAAAAAAGGTAATTACCAAAGAAAGGAATAAAGAAAATAACTGCATTAAAAAAACTCTTATTAATGAAGCATACACATAATTTTCAGACACAAATTGGAAAAACTAATTTCACTGGAACATTGAATGAATTACACAAAAATCAATTTTTCTCATTCAGTTTGTACTACAAACATTCCTTATGGAATTGAAACAGATAGAAACGCTATAAAATGTTATGTGTGAAAGAGTATTACGCTAAAAAACGTCACTTATATAGAACACTATCTGCTCTTGCATGATAACAAAACGTATACACATTCATAAAAATTATTGAATCATTATTATTATTATTCGAAAAAGTTAGAAAACAAAATAAGCAAATGTTTAGTTTACTATTATTTTAGGAAAAATGCCATTACATATTTCTATTACAAAAGTACAAACAGGAAATGGTCGATAACTTCAGCTTCAGTTTAAAAAAATACTCTTTTGATACATAATAATTTATTTGTGATGCTGTTCTGTTATTTGATGGTGTAATTAATAATAAAATGTTAATTAGTGCAAAAATCCATACAATAGAACTGTAATCTCTAAGAATAGTAAATCTAAGTAAAACACTTTTACCAATACTGTGAAAACACCTTTTTCGACACATGATCCGACAAGTAAGTTGCCATCATCAGGAGATTATCTTAACTGCTCCTAGTAGATAAGGATGTCTCGCGATGGTCCTAACTTGGTTATCAAAACATGAGTGGCGAAATTTTTGGCGTGTGGCTGTTGTTGAATTCAGATCCACTTTATAGTAGAAAGAATCACTACTAATACCCCATTTCTTTCAATAAAGTCCTCGCTATAACTAGCCTTTGAATCTCAGATGTCCCTTCGTAGATTTCGGTGATTCTCGCGTCTCTGTAATGACGCTCAGCTGGCATATCAGACACGTACCTAGAAATACAAACGACATAATAACTTAAAAAACTTTCACCCAACCTCAATCTCACCCCATCCCGCCCAAAATCTGTATACACTGATGGCTGAGGAACGTGGCGGCTTCGCTAGCAGCCAACTTTGCCATCGCAGCTTCTTTGGTGTAGGGTTTCCTGTTGTCCTTCAACCAAGCGGCCCTCCAGGTCAGCAACCTGGCCGACTCCAGTTGGAGAGCCATGTCTGCCAATTTGTTCTGGATCGTCTGCAGCTTGGTGAGGGGCTTCCCGAATGCCAGACGTTTGGAGGAATATTCCGTGGCAAGTTCCAAGCAAGCTTGGGCAATGCCTAACGCTTGACTCGCTATTCCTATTCTGCTCGAATCAAGGCTGGATAAAGCTATCTACGGAATTGAGAAGGTCACGTGTCGCGGTTTTTGTAAAACCTTTATAGTGAAAATCATAGAATAAACTGTATTGATTAGTTTTTTTACTTACTTTGAAACCAAGTCCGAAATCTCCCAGCAAATTTTCCCTTGGCACCTTGCAATCTTCGAAGATGAAATCGCAAGTTGAAGACCCTCTTATTCCCATTTTAATGTCTTTTTTTCCAAGTAAGAGTCCCTCGATGGGCTGCGGTACGATTATAGTAGATATTCCTAAAAAAGAGGACGAGTAATAGTTGATTTGGAAAATAAGTTAGCTAAAGTGAAAAATAACTGTAACAATTCAACTTCAGCACACTTGGTGGAGCTCTTTACACAAATAATATCTATTTCTTGAGTGTACCTCAAGGATCATATTTGGGGTGACTACAAATTTTCACTATTAAAATCAGTTAAATGGGGTAATTCAGTTGAAAAATCATCAACATAGAACTTTCAGAGGTGTCCTAAGATAAAAAAAATCATCACTGTAAATACTAAATTAAGCCTGAACGTAACAGTTATGTTTAAGAGATAGATCCCAAAGGTGAAATAATATTGACTATTTCAGGAACTCACTTACGGCAATAAAACCTTGTAAAGTGAAATCTTCTCTTGCTTACTCGCTTATGCCACTTTTTTTTATAAAGATTGTGATTTTCCAACAAACTATAATACATCATAATGGATCTTTACACTACTGAAATTGGGATCACCGCAAAGGTAAAAACTACACGCATAGTACCTCATTCTATATTTTTAATTTTTATTGACAGTAGTTCTTTCAAAGTCGAGTAAAAACGATGATCGTGACGTCACTAACATTTAACCTAAAATTAGTCGCGTGGCGCCATTCAGCACCAACATAGTTTGAAAGTTTTATATTCCTTTCAACTTTTTTTCCTAGAACACTGGTAATAAAATTATTCCTTTAATATACTATCATGGACAATATAAACACGTTTTCGTTCTAACATTTGGTTGAGATTAAATTTTATTACAGAGAAATCAGCCAGGGGCATTCCAACCCTAGGCCATATAGCGCCTTTCGAGTACCTGAGTAAGTTTATTTGCAACGCAGTTTTTGCAATTATCTTTAGTTGTCTTACAGTCGTTGAGTGCGGATGAATAATTTTGTTGTTGAAAATGGATTGTTCAGATGCTAGTACAAGTGCGAAATTTTTCTATTTTCAATAAAAAAGACCTTATGTATGCTGAATAAAAAAATTAAGGAACGACAGTGATAGTGATTCCTCAATTGGACACAAATGTTGATGAATTAAGTGATGTCGAGGATTCTGAAATACAGTGAACATGAAACAGATTCTGAAAATAAAACTGTCGAGTGTTTATCATCAAATGAAAATTATTAAATGGAAAAATTAAATTACAAAATGGTATAAGTTTATATTTCTTAACATGACAAAAAAGTGGTATTGATACCAATGATTAGTTGTGTACTACTTATAACGTTGGAAGAACAAAAAAGTGGCCAATGACATTTTTTTCATCTGGTAAATGCACTATTAATATACAAGTATACATTTCAATCCAAAACAAAAGAAATTCTTTACAAAAAATTGGGTCAAAAAATTAGCACAACCTCTCCAACGGAAAAGTCAAACGTAAAACGTTTGCACTTGTCTAGTTGAACGATTGGGGACATGTAAAAGATATTTTGGAGAGAAGCTCGGGACTGATACTCAGTCCGTTGATAATTTTGAATAGAAGTATTGAATCTCTATGTTTTCTGCATATATTTGATGGGAATATGGAAATATGCATTTGATATGCATATTCCCAAAAAAAAAAAAACGAAGAACAACAAAAAACACTGTGTAAAGTATATACGAAGTCAATTCGAATGGCATAAAAACTAAATAGTTACCGAACACGTTGGCGGTTTTCTTTGTGTAGCATGGTATAATTTTTTTCAACATAATTTATGTTTCATGAACCTACAAGAATGTTTTCCTTATTTGTACACAGTAATGTACATAGTCTTTACTCAGCTGTTCGGATTGACTTCGTATAGACTATACCATCTGTATTAAAAATGAGCTCTTTTTCTCAATATGTATTCTATATCTAAGCAAAGTTATTCAAATTATCAGTTTAAGCCATTTTTGACAAAGAAAAGCTGACAAAAATGCTCTTAACACATAGTGCCATGTGGCACCACACAACTATTTATGTTACAACTAGCACGAGACTAACTAAACTTTAAATAATTTGTTACTATAATTGCTAAGATGGAAATTGACAACGCTGTGTTGAAAAAATACAGCTATACAAAAGACAACAGATTCCTTTATTCCTGTAGTTTTTCAATTGCTTTCAACTTGCTCAATACAAGTATGCGAAACGTATATATGCTTTTATGGAAACATAAACATAGAACTTTTTTCTTGTGCTAAAACCAAGACAAGAGACAATGAGACTAAGATGTATAAATTGACCCTGAAAATTTGTCACTGCATGTCATTGTGAGAAGGTGTCTTATTACAATTTTTTGCATCTCAGCTTTCAAGTGGCCTTATCTCCAAAACTAGACTGTAGCACCAAGTTTTGTGATTGGAGGACATAAAAATACGTTACTTGATTAAAATCTTGTGCAAGCCTTCAAAGCAAATATTTACTATAAACAAAATTCACAATGAACATTGAGTCAAGCCAGAATTAATGTATTTGCAATTATTACTTACTTATCTTGAGTTGGATAAGAAGCCCTTCGTTTCTTCACTAAAACAATTCGTTTTTCTCCATTTTTCTCACCACCGATGGGCTTTTCGACCACGACTATCTCCTTTTTTTTGGGGGCGGCTTTAGTTTTCTTACCGATGAATTTGTAAATAGCTTTCTTGTGGAACATTTTGGTTCTAGAGAACCGAAGGACTCCGTTGCCCAAGTCATAATTTCTGGGCTTTCCGGACTTCTTCTTGATTTCTTTTTTAGGGGTCTCGGGTGCGACTGTTTTATCAGTCTTGCTCCTTTTAGTTATGGCCATCTGAAACAAAACATAGACAGATGAAGGCTTGCAACGTGTTCACGAAGTTACGATATAGGTTATGTTTTTTGTTTTTCAGTAATCATAAAACTAGAATTGCAGTACACGAAATGAGAATTTTTTTGAGCCAGTGGTTTGAAAGCACACTTCGAAAAGTCATCTAGATCATTGTAAATACTATATTATGACAGTTTACCAGCACCTCGAAAACAAACTTTTTCCAAGATTATCTATCACTGAAAATTCGAAATAATATCAAATGGAACGACTGCGTAGATATTCACTGAGTATTTATGTTTTATGAAAACTTCATTAACTCTTGTGATGGCCGGGAAACTTTTTAATTTTTTTAATATTCCATCACTAGAACTCACCTTTAAAGATGTTTCTGTTGGAAAGGACTGAAACAAAAAGCGCAAGCGCAAACGTGAAGGACCAGTGTCGTTAACTTTGCAAATTAAAAATTCACCAACAAATTAAGCGGCAAATTTGAAATTTGCGAAGACTAAATTATTGTCAATGTATATTTCAAAATGATTGAAAATTACATTTTCATAACATCAGTAATACTGCACAGTGAATGTTTGAACGAAGCTACTGAGCAGCAAAAAGGGTTGATGTTATGTTTATAATATGTTTTACCGTTAACCTGAGCTATCGCACCCCTACAAACGATAACCCTCAGAAGTCGAAACTTGTGCGAGCTAAGGACTAACGAGGTCTTACCTTTTAAAGTGTGATTCCTAACACGGGTTGGACGATAGCAAGTGAAAATCGAGCGTTTAGCCTGGGACTTGAACCATCGACTCACACATCGGCTGATTGACTGAGTGATAGGTCCGTAGCCGGGTGGTACTAGGTACCAATAATATATATTATTGAAATTTCGAAGGATACGAGAAAATGAACCATATGCGATGTCATGAAATTTTTTGTTGAATAGAGCAGGATACCTAGTGGAATAAACATTTTTATTGTAATTGAATAGAACTGGCCGATACTTGATGAAAATCCATATTGAACAACAAATCAATGCAGTTTATTTGTACGATTTTCACTATAAGGGCTTTACAAAAACCGCGACACGTGTTTCGCTATACAATAGCTTCTTCAAACGTAAAAAAAAATTATTCCGACTGATATGTATGCAAGATACCTCACCGAGGTTTGTCTCACAAATGTTTCTCGTTCAATCAGCAGCAGGATCATGCCGAAATTTTTTGAGTAGATCATCTGCAGACCGGTTTCGAGTTATTACCTTTTATCAGTACAGGAAAGATCCAACCCAGACCACAGATCCCAGACAGCAAAGTGCCTGGGACTTGATTAATTTCAACACGGATCCGCTGCATATATGAAATCTTCGTCTGAGAGAAAGATTAATAACCAGTAACATATCTATCTCGTGAACAAAGCTCCAAGCGGGAAATAAACATCCCATCTACCAATACTCTGAGAAAGAGAGATCAATTATACCGTAAAACGGGGTTACTTCGAACCACGTGGCTATTTTGAACAAAATATAAATTTTTTTATATTGACTCATAGTGAAATAACCATTAGGTTTAGCGACATCTAGTTGTCATCACTCAATTCGTCACACATTTAGGAATGGTATTGCAACACTGGTATTTAAATACTTTTTGTGACGTTGGCCATCCTGACATGTCATTTTTACCTACGAAACTGACGTTGGATGAGGTCTGCAAACTTTTGTTGTTTTACTCGTAAATATTTACACTACGTGTTTACTAAATATATTTGCTATAACAATACATTATCATAGAAATTTGAGATATTTCAACACACTTTTTTTTCACAAATTTTTTGTCAGAACAATGTGCTTAGATATCGTTTTCGTACTTTGAAGGCGTTCAATATAGATGAAGCACCCTCAGAATATGTTGGAGATATAAAACTAGATAAATTTTATTTTGTTCTGGGACAGTCAGTATCACCATTGGAAAGAGAAATTGATGAGATATAAAATAACTTGACCAGTAGTTCTCTCTACTTGAAATGATTTTAAAAATGGCAATGAATAATGAGTGCTTATTGAAATACGAGGTCTGTTCAGAAAATAAAGTGTTTCATGTCGTGATTATCAATTAAGTTCTGCTACAGTATAAATCATTTGTCTTTTGACCAGAAGTAAAATTTCAAAAAAATGTTCGAATGCTCATTCTCCTCACCTGTTTGGATCATGAATCCCTTGATAACTCTGTGGAAAACATGTCCGTTGTAGTATCCATTCTTGGAGTGAACGCAAAAGTTTTCCACCGTCTTTGGCGTGTCTTTGACGAACAGCTTGATATGAATATCTCCAAACGCCGTGTGAAGGATTGCATTTTCATACAGCCTCTGCACAGCAGGGTTGTCCGTCGCAGCGAAAGTATCTTCTTTCGAAGGTTTTTCATTGAAAACGTCCCTGTCCTGATCGCCTTGCAGCTCGTCAGGTTCTCTGCGACTAAACAGATAGAAACGAGATTTTTTGTAGGCAGTGCAGATCAGGGTAGGATCTGGGATGATAGATTCAAGGATGGGGTTGTTGGACGCCTCTATTTCCAGCGTTACAGCTGCTTTGGCCTTCTTTGCAGATCCTGGAATCAATAATAGTATTTTATTCGATCATTTTTGGTATAAAATGAGTGAGTATGGTGGGTCAAAAAAACATAAATAGACAATTTGAAACAAATCTAAAGATTCTAAAGGAATAATTCGTTCAGGCCAGTCTCAACTCTCTACACTGTATGTTAATGGACTGACACCTATAAGAAAACAACTACTCTCCTGGATAATACCACGAAACGTTGGATTATATCTGACAGGTGTCAGTAAAGGATTCTTCACTGAAGTTTCCTGCATATACTGTTGACGATACAACTGCCTCAATAGATTTTTAATCATTGGAACACACTTGCAGACCGGTTTCGGACTGTTTGGCCAATCGTCAGTGCAAGGTAGTCAACAAAGTCGATGATTTCTGATAATTGAAAATGGAATTCCTTCAGAGTATCATTCCTTGAACTAGGCTGAGAAGCCCCACCCTCAATACTATAATATGTATAATATTCTTTAGACTTTGCACCAAAAAATCAACTGTTGTGAAGTGGTTTGCTATGTTTAAAAGAGGTGAAATGAGCACTGAGAACGATGCACGCAGTGGACTCCCCAAAGAGGCTGTTACCGATGGAAACATTAAAAAAATCCCCAAAATAATTTNTCATTGGAACGTGTTGGACATATCGTGCATGAATATTTGGATATGCAAAAGCTATGTTTAAAGTGGGTGCTGCGTCTCCAAACCGTGTAAAGATGCAAAAGCTAACTGGCAATGTTATGGTATAATTATTTTGGAATGCACATGGTACACTTTCCATCGACTCTCTTGAAAAGGAAAAAACCATTAACAGCCACTATTACATATCGTTATTGAGACGTTTATAGAACGAAATCGTGGCCACATTTGAAGAAAAAGGAAGTGCTGTTTCATCAAGACAATGAATACACTGAGTCACATATCAATGAAACCGAAGGCAAAATTGCATGAATTGGACTTTGAATTGCTTCTGTGTGCATTGTATTCTCCAGATTTGGCACCCAGTGACTTTTTCCTGACTTTTTCTTAGACCCCAGAGGAATGAGGTGTAAAATGTTGATACTTGTACTACCTGTATGAAGAAATGCCAAATTATGTCCAAAGTGTGTAGAAACAATAGATGTGGCAACATTTAACTTGTGGGTTACTGACTACATCAGAATTTTATCTGAGAGCAATGCATCAGAATATGATTGCTTTTTCAGTTCCTTATTCATTATTCTCTACGTTTATTTGGTTTTATTATACAAATTTTCAATGTGTTTGAACAGTCTGATTAAAAATTTCCACCTGAAAAAAAACATCTATCATTAAGTTCTCACCTTGATATAAGGCGATATTTAACATCCTCAGATTCTCGTTCTTTCCGATTATTCTCACACATCTGTTTGTGTGAATATTGATCAGTTTTATTCCTAAAACTGTAGCGTACATGATGAAATGCCCACTCTCATCAAAAGTTATGTTGGCAAGCTCGAAGCTTTCTGATTTCTCCAAATCTCTCTCCACTGCCATGCGTCTCCCGAACTCCATATTTGGCAACTGTTGGGTTTTCTGCTGATGTTCTGTAAATCGTGGAATTGTTTCGTCCAACACCCTCAACTGAAACATTTGAAAATACTTTCATAAGTCAATACTGTGATACATTTAGGGACAAAAAAATAATGAGACTAAATGAATTATATATAATAAGTGTAGGTTATTTGTTGGACATTGTATATGAGCTGTTCAAAAACTAAGGTGAATTTTCGTCAATTTTCTGCTATCGAAAAAAATGGATCAAAGAATCTGCATCAAATTTTGTTTAAAATATTAGATTAGGAGCTCAAAAAAACTTAAAATGTGGCCAGTGACATAAGGTGATTTTATTCTTGAGCCAGAAAACTGAGCATCACTTAGGAACTGTTGAATGACGTCAACGGCGATAAAAATTTATTTAAAAGGGTCATAAGTGGTTATAAATCATGAGTATATAGTTATGACAATGAAACCAAAGTCCAATCGTCCCAATGGAAGAGCATAGGATGGCCAAGACAAAAGAAAACACGCCTAATTCGATCAAATGTCAAGATTTTGCTACATGGTCGTACGGTCAATAAGGAATATTATCTTGAAGTTATGCGCCACTTGCGAGAAGCAATACGAAGAAAACGTCCGGTATTGTAGAGAACAATTCATGGCTTTTGCATCACAATAATGCACCTACTCACTTGTTCATAATTTTTCAACCAAAAACAACTCTGTAGTCATGCCTCAGCCACCATATTCACCAGATTTGGCCCCCTGTGACTTTTTTCTGTTCCCAATATTGAAGATACCCATGAAACGACGGCGTTTTTCAAAGATTGAGGAGATAAAAAAAGTGCATATCAGAACTGCTTTGAGGTTTGGAAAAAACGTTGGCAGAGGGACTACTTTGAAGGGAACAAACTAGAAATTGATGAATAAATAAATATTTTTTGAGAAAAATGAAAATTCACCTCATTATTTGAACAG